GTGCCCATGGTTCAAATGCTCCTGGGGCACTGGGGGCGGGTCACTGATAAAGGAGGGATCCATTTGACTTCAAGCCGAAGTTTTGTTTTTTCTGTTCTCCTCTTCGTTTTATCTGAATAAATCTTCCACGTTTCTGAACAAGAAAACCCAACATTTCATTCTTAATCTGCTTGTTGCTGGTCCTTGGTAATTGGTATCTTGGTATGTCGTGCTGTTAACCGGCACGACTGTGTTGCACTACAAGAAGGGGGGCCTGCGACACTGGCAATTATCACGCAATCTGCCTGCACAACTACACCATCTCCACTTTGCTGGACTGCGCGGAGAAAGGTTTGTTTGCGGCTGAATCTAACTGCCCCATTCTTGCTCAACGGAACAAATTCTCTAGCTATGTGTACCTGGGTCGGGAAACGACTTAGCATCAGAGCTGAGCAGGAGGAAGCGAGCGGCTTGGGGAGCCTTCAAGAACATCGAGGGAGTAGCGAAGAAGACGAAGAACACCAAGCTCCGTGCCCACCTCTTCGATTCCGCGGTCCTTCCTGCTTTAACACATTGAACGCCGCGGCGTTTTTGCAGCGACTCCCGTTTACACTTCCTGCGTCTCCGCGCGCGTGAATTGTGTGCAATACACAAACGCGCGAAACGGGAGTCTTTGTGCCGCATGCCCTTTGCACGCTCATTCATTTGTGCTAGATTCTCGCGTGAACCTATTCAATAGAAGGTAAAACTCGGTTCAGGCTTACATACTTGGATCTAAAGAACGAAGTAAAGGATGTCAATGTTAGTTTTGACGACTTATTTTAGTACAGTGATGAAGGAATTAGATGACTTGGACAATTCAGAAGACACTATGATGACAATCAGGAAAACCATTACTCAGTGAATGAAATTCACTTGGAAGGACTACTCAGCCATCACTTTCTGGAAGATCAGGTGTCAAGAGCAAATCAATCCGTGATGCACTCGCGCCGTTGGTTTCTGTTTGCTTGGGAATGATGAACTGTTTTGATTCCAATTGAAATCAGATATGAAGAACAAAACAAACTCCAGCCAACTAAGCTCGCAGAGCTGAAGAAGGATTGATTGGAAATTGTCATATGAAGTCAATTACCCCGTTCAATGCGATATGTATAATGTAGAATAAGGAAAACATATTGCGCATATATCCCACGGTGATCATTCAAAAATGCATGCTTCGGTAAAAAAATTTATCCACAACAAGTCAGTTGTAAGCAGCTCACGAATGCGCGAAACGGGGTGCGAACACCTGGACGATCGTCTACGCGACGGTCAGACTTCTTCGTGAGCTCTGAACGAATGGCATGAAGTTCGTCGTGTCACCTCGAGCTGAGAGAGTTCATTGGGCAACTCTTGCACGTTGCAGGGACGAATGGAGACGTTACTGGCGCCCGCTCGAGGAACTCGATGATCAACGGGAGCACAGGTGATACAGGTGATCTTGTTAAGTATAACGTGCAGTTTTGAATCTAAGCTGTAGTCAACAGGTATTATCACTCACTATATATAATTTGCTGCGTCTGCTTGATCGTTTGTGCTAAAATTCGATTCTACCTGGAGACAACTTTGAGAGGTCGAGTCATGGTTGGAGCAGGGCATGAGATAAGATGTAGAAAGTCCCAGTCACCCTGCTGATTCTAGCTCACAATGGGCGGAAAGCTAGCGATGTAACTGAAAAATCCACGGTTCTGCTTGAGAGCGACTCCAGATGGGGGAAAAATGTGGGATAAATTCAGCAAGGGGCAGACCAAATGAAGGATACACGCCCGAAATGGGCTTCGCGTGCTTGAGAGTGGTGATGCTCCCCACTGTGTTCATCTTGGTTGACGAGAGAGTTCAGAATTTGCAAAAAAAAGTCCATTTTGCAAGTGTGTATCATACCTACGTGGGTTGAGACGCGCCCACAGTAGAGCCGAGGCGTGCCCTCAAGCATGACGTACTTATCTCAAAAAGTTGTAGTTTAATCACAGAGCACTACGGACACCGCAAAAAAAGTGGGGTATGATTAGCGAAGGGCCACCATTTAATAGTGGGCGACACTCGTAGTGAGCGTGAGCGTGCGAGGCGGTGAGCGCCGCCATCAAAAATCTGCAGAACGGTTAGCCACTCCAGACACCTCCAAAAGGTGAGAAAAGGTGTGCAGGAGCTCGGCGCAGGACTGAGGTGGGATAGACACGCCCACTGTGGGCGGAGCATGTGTCTAAGTGGATGGGACAAGCGTCAAAGATTCACGATTCGATTGCAGAGTAACAGGGCCCCGTGGATAAACCGATTGAGATCCCTAATGGGTAAAAGGGTGAAATGGGGGAAGTCTCCACTGGAATGGCCTCTCCCTAGTGATCAGTTGATGAGTTTGAAGGTCAGGGATATATCGTTGGAAAAACCTATGGCGAGAGTTGAGCATGTGCGCGGCAGTTGGAGACCTGCCCACAGTAGGCAGAGCGTGCCTTCAAGCACAAGCTGCCTGCTTTTACTGAGCTTTAGTGCATCGGCAGCCATGCACTTAACCACCGGTCGTCGTAAATGCATTCGATACCAGTCGGCTCGCCGGCTCTAGTGCGCCTTTTTCTGTGATACGACCCGGCTTTGTAGGCCCTCGTTTCGTATTCTTTCTTTTGATGCTCAACTAACAACTGGCTTTTCTCTTATCTGTGCACTTGATCAAAGCTCCTTACCACAATTTCATCGACAGTGTGGACTTACCACCATCTCGTTGAGTGTGGAAAATAGCAGGTATGATGTCACTGATCAAGAGGGTCGACCATATGTATAGATAAAAGAAAAGCCGGATATTAGTTGAGTATTCAAACATGTGAAAGAAGCTGCGCCCGCATGGCCAAATAAGGCCGTATCACAAGAGGCGCGCCGCCGTCAGCCGTGAGCCGACTGGATCGCGCAATTCGGTCGCTATTACATGCGTCCGTTACAGAGCGTCACGTGGCTCTTCCTTACTGTCCATTTCAATTTGAGAGCATTCTAATTTTCAAGACTATTAGCGACTTAGTATGTCACGAAGTTTAGGTCTTGGCTTTCAATACCTGCATAGCACTGAAATGTGGTCCTTATTTTCTCGTTTCCACAGGCCAACAAACAACTTCGCAGACTGCCACTGGAGGAGCTCATCAAACTCCAATATTAGTTACACTTCAGCCATCTGGAACTGCCTATCAAACACCTCCTCAGAGCAGTGCGCAAATTGTAGGTCTTCAGAGGTGCTGGCCTTTCTGTAGACGCATCACTAGTATATTTTACTTTTCAGAATTCTACTCAAAGCACAGCGTCGCAGAATTTCAGCAATGAAACGATGAACCCTTGGTTAGTCCCTTCTCAATTTTCCATCTGAAGCTGATGATCATGATGAAATAGAGTAGAAGTGAGTTCCAGTCCTCAAGATAGCCCCCGTACTGCTGATCTAGCCGGTGATTCGCCACATATGCCGAACAGCGGCCAATCTGAGACTGTTGCTGAGACAGGAGATGGTACTGTTGAGAATCCGATCACGTTTGATGACCCGTCATCAATGTATGCGATTGTACTTCTTTTACTCTATTTAGTTCAACATTTTATACTACTCATTGTTCTAGTTTGACACCAGCTGCGTTGTCCATGCATGAAGAGATGTTACGCGCTCAGCAAAAGAAGATTGAAGTGTTGCTGAAGGAGCTGGCGAAAAGTCAGACACATTTAAAGCAAGAACAACAACTCATACTCACTGCTAAGAAAGCACAAGTGAGTCATGCGTTATTTCATAATAGATGGTTATGAAAAAGCACTAGATCAATCTCTTCGTGCACTAAACATAACCGCATCAGCTGTACAAGTTGTGCTGATTTGAACACGGGTTACTGGAGCTGCTCCAAGACACGCTAGAATATTACACTAACTTCCCAATTTGCAGCTGATGTGGACCTAATCACATTCCTCATTTTTGGATTCCTTATTTCATCTGCGTGACCCGAGACAGTTTCAGGAGTTTGAATGCTCAAGGCAAGTTGGTCGCGAACGGCAATCCATACTTGCTCTTTCATGAAGGATAGTACACTCTTTTATGACTTATATACAATGAAGGCAACCTACGCGGGCGCGCTACTAATTTAGCGAACGCTCTTGATCGACTCCGACTGACTACACCTGTCGACTTTTGCCCAAAGGCCGAGCACGGGTAACGGACCAGATTTTAAAACTAGTGACGTCATAAAGTGAAAATGGAAGCTCGGCACTGCCGATCTTCGAGCCAAAATGAAAAAGCGTTTGCTGAAATTTCTAATGCATCAAGGAATTAGTTCAACTTTCCATGGAATCTTGAGTGGAGTCCCACATATATCGGTAGAACCAGAATGCTGATTGCGAGTATGCAAATTAAAAATGCTACGGAGATCTTCTGTACAAAATCTGGGTCGCTAAGTATGCTTCAATCGCAGTGTTGGCATGTAAGCACAGTTGATCGGTGGTTGCCAGTGCCACTAGGGCATGTGGTAGTAGTCTCAAGCCAGTCGAGCAACTAGGTCAAGTATCTGACGTGGCGGATCAAATAAGAATTTGTCGTTGTATCTAACTTGCAAAAATCCCAAAGTAACGGATAGTTTGTGTTTGGGAAGAATCTGGATTCGGCCACAAACTTGCCCACGGAGCAGTTTGAGCCCCTTAATATGACCAGGCCAGATGTTAACGGATAAGACATATCTGAGAGAGAGAGAGAGAGAGAGAGAGAGAGAGAGAGAGAGAGAGAGAGATGTCTCATGTCTGCGTCCCGAATAGACAACACCTTTACCCTGTGCCATGCCGGATAGGCGCTGGCATCAAGCCTTCATAGAATCACCAAATTTGCGGAAATCTTGTTTTATTCCAGGGTGCGAAACCCCGTTCACTCGAGGACGCTCGATTCAGAGGCAGTGGCACAGCACTTTGTATACTGCTGTCTTCAGCCCCTTCATAAAGAGAAGAGATAGTTTTCGCGTCAAATGGAGGTGGTGACATGTTCAGAGAGTCAAATTACAGCCGGGAACGAGTTCCTGGCCAAATTGAGATTCTGGCCATAACGTGGAATTATCGGTGAGGCGCAACGAGATAGTGACCTATTCCATAATCAGTCTGATACGTCAGATGACTGACCTACTCGCTCTGCCGAGTCGTTTAGTTGAAGGATTTCCGAAACTGGAGTGGAAACTTTTAATGGGGACAAGTAAGAAACTTCCCCGCCGACGGAAACAACCCGGTAGCTCCTGACTTTGAGGAGATCATTACCACTAAGTCACGGTGGCACCCTGTCAGCTGTGCTTGTATGCCAACACTGCATTTACAGCATAACTTGTTCATGCAGAACTCGTATGGGAGGTCCTCGTAGCACTTTCAATCTGCATATTCGCAGTCAGCATTTGAGACTATCGGTATACCTAGGTCTCCACTCGAAAGTCCTTGAGAATTTGAATCATACCCTTGTGAAGGTATTCAGCGGTGATCACAAGTATAACATTTGTGCTCAGAGCACTGAACAACCTTTGCTATAATCATTCCTGGTGAGGGAGGCTGTGATGC